AAAAGTATGTTATTATGCTTTTGAACATGGCCATCCCAATTGATTTTTTTTACTATTGATTTTGTTGCTTAATTTGGCTTTAATAGGACAATTATAGATGTGACATGAATCAATATAAAGAAGAGTGGGATGAAATGACCCAAAACTCATGTTTCTCTCTCTCTCTCTCTCTCTCTTGCTTGCTTGCACACTCGTCATACTATGCTGTTTTATATACTCTCTCTCACTTAGCATTAATGCATTCACTCAGCACACAGTGGGAAATATGACTGGATGCTGATCTAAACCAGAAGCCTGAATATGAAAACTCACTGTCAGTTAATGTTAGGAATAGACAGATTGGCTACAGTGCCACTGGATGGACAACTATAAAGCAACTGAAGAAAGTGGGGAATAAAAAGGAGTTACAGTGCAGTCAGAGGAGAGTGGAGAAGAGCGGATAAGCGTGCGCTTGATGTGCTGCAGTGTGACGTGGATGGATGTGGGATTTCTCCCCTGTTCTTTGTGTTGATGTGATTGGTGCCCAGAGTTCACCGCTTCACAAGCTGCTGCTGCCCTGGAGCCAGAGTGCAGGAATTCACTCTCACCGAAACTAGCGCACACACACGCACCAAGACACTTACTTATACACGTTTCACACACCAGACGCCACATGGACAGATACACACTCTGGCAGCACTTCAGAGCTATAACTGCACTTGTGGTTAAAACAGAGTGTTGCACTCACCTTTTTGACAGCTGCCACATCCATTCCGACCTTTTTTAACAACATTTTCTTCAAGTTTTAAGAAAAGGAACTTTTTTTCACCTCATTGTCCTCAGGGCAGGAAGACATTTGTCTTTAGTTTTTGAAGTAACAGCATTGGGAGATTTTGGGACTAGTTGCTCTTTGTAGCATCATCATCCTCACTGTGGTAAAGCTGTCTGGGGGGGCTCGCCGTCAGCATGCAGGTGTCTTTTGTGTGCACGGACCACCGAGCTGTCAGTCGCAGCACAGAGGACCGACTGAACCGTCAGAACACTAACAGCCCAAGTTTGGGGACCAAAAGCAAGTTTCGCGCCGTGGCAATGGTTGCCCGTAGCTTGGGCCAACTGTCTGTGCAGAACATGCCCTCGTCTGGTGACCACTGCTTGAGAACTGGCATGAAATATAGGTAGGTGAGAGGTGGACTCCAACAGTTAACATGTAGCACTTTAACCCTTCTGTGCTGTTGCAGGTCTTTTTGCACCATTTAAGACTGTTTGGAATCACATGTTCAACACATGTGATTTGAGCAAAGTAAAGTTGTCTCAAACAAAAAATTGTGACTCTCGAGATTTGATTTGTTATGCAGGGTCAATTTGGTTCACAGGTTTAACAGGTTAAAGTTGTCATGGTTTAAAAGGAATGTCTGAAATGTTATGTTAACAAGTGTTGGTTGTGTAGTTGGCTGGTTAGTTAGTTTGTCCATTAATCTCTTGTGGCCAATTTAGTAATTGTGAATGTTGAGAAGGTAGTGATTTAGCATATCTCATTTACTATACTTAATAGAAATATTTGTAAATTAAAAATTAATATTACAAATAATTATAAATTATGAGTAATTGATTTGCTTTGTCATTTTTTTATCTAGCTATCTATCTATCTATCTATCTATCTACTGTATATATATACACACTACTGTTCAGAAGTTTAAACAGTAAAACTGTTAATAAGTCTCTTATGCTCACCAAGGCTGCATTTATTTGATCCAAGATACAGTAAAAACAGTAATATTCTGAAATATTCTTACAATTTAAAATAAATTCGGTCACACTTTATTTTAAGGTCTAATTCCCGCTATTAACAAACCATTAACTACGACTTTTGCCTCAATAAACTCCTAATTGGCTACATATTAATAATTAGTAAGGTAGCTGTTAGGTTTAGGTATGGGTAGGATTAGGGATGTAGAATATGGTCGTGCAGAATATGTTCTTTAGAAACACCCAATATGTTGATAATAGGCATGCTAATAAGCAACTATTTAATTGTGAGAATTGGTCCCTGTACTAAAGTGTTACCATAAATTATTTCTATTTTAATATTTTCTAAAAAAAATATAATTTATTCCTCTGATGACAAAGCTGAATTTTCTGCAGTCACAATTTTCTACATAGTCTTTAGTTTGACATGATCTTTCAGAAATCTACATCAGCAAAATATTTATGAATTTAAAAATTAGAATATTTCAAACAATGAAATAAGTAATAATTAATAACATAATAACTAATAATTAATAACATAGTTAAATGCAAATTTTTAACCAATCTCAATATGAACATCCATGTTTTTCATGCTGTACATTATAATGTTTTCATGCCTAAATTCATTTGTAGCATTTAAAACAACTGAATTCAGTTTGTAGTATTTTATTTAGACAAAATAGTACAAATAGTAATAGTTTTAATATCGACCTCTTGACATCTCCAAAGTTAAAAATCAATTCTTTCATTTGACTAATTGACTCAATTTGTGTAGACGCATTGCTTTGCTGTCTGGGCTCAGAGGAGGGGGTGAAGATAGAGATTTCTTTTAGTGCCTGTTATACCCATTAGCATGTTCTCTATATGAAATGGAGATGCAGTGTGATCATGTTCCACTGCTTAGCATTATTGGGAGCACAAGGTGCTCTCTCACTTTTTCGACTGCAGAACTCATTCAGCCCACGGTCTTTTGTAACATACCCGTGCTGCTTACTATCTGCTCACTGCTAAAATAATAGTGTGCTCGATCCTTAAAGTAAGCCCACCCTCCCTCCTCATTTTTCCATACTGTAATTTGCGTAATTGTACATCAAAGGCACTTTGTAGCCATGCAAGGTAATGTAGAGTGTCTTCTACTTCCTGATTAAACTAATGTGTAACTGAACACCTGAAAAGCTTCTCTCTCTCGCTGCGCTGCTACCAAATGTCTTGGCTCTTAAAGCTAATTCTCCCATTGTAATTAAGTCTTTGAAATTCAAAGCTGTAAATATGTAAATGTCATGTCATAGTCATGAAGGCTGGGTTTATTCCACTGGAATACGAGATGGGGCTTACTGATGGATTTTGGACTTGCTTAACATGATTTGTGTGTAATTTTAATTTACCTGATCATAACTAAGTCTTTATTGATAAAAAATCTATCCAATTTGCACTACTTTCTGTCTACTACACAAACTGGCTGTAAGAGTGAATAACTTACAACATAATTGTACAATAATGTAATGAATCTATTCATGTACTGTAGTTATGGATCTACTAGAATATTTTACAATCAATTTGTAGTAGGGTTGGCAGATGACTGACAGACACGATGTTGAGCCGGCATCGTGATCTCTTCACCCCCACACCCCATACCCCCCGCAATCCGCCACATCCCAATTCCGTGTTCGGAAAGGGAATTAAGTGTACTACGGAACCCCTAAAGGGAATAAATAACATACGAGATGGGATGATAAAAAAAATATATTTCAATACTTTCTCTCGCAATTATATCGTTGGGTAAGTATACTGTATATAAATTGCGGGCATCAGGGAGCCGCTACTAATATGCAGGGCATTGAAACAGCTTTCGAATGCGCGCTCTCATTTTACTTTCACTTTCACTTTCGAGATTCGCAATCACACGACTCTATACTATAGAGCGGCAGTACCTACCACACATTTTACAAGATTAGATATTTGTCAGGGGTGCTCAGTATCTGCAAATCATTCGCCATTGTCCTATCAGTCATCTCTCCTTACTCTGTGTATGTGGTAAGTGAACTTTCATGTACTGTAATGTAAGAGTCTACCAACTATTTAATTCAAAAGATAGGCTACCTTAACTCAAGCCATATAATGATTGTAATGTGCTGAAACATATTAATATAATAAACATAACTGAATGATGGCACTTATTAACATAACAGTCCGTCGATTAGCATAAATCAACTGCTCATAAGGCTAGGACATATCCATTTAAAAAATTGTAATCCCTAAAGGGAACAGATACGAGATGGGAGGAAAAATATACTTCAATATCTTCTGTCGCAATTATATCGTTGGGTAATTATACTGTATATAAACTGCGGGC